TTTCTCATTTAGACTTCTTCCCCTCACCCCCCCCCCACCCCTCCAAATACCCTGAGTTGTTTTTAGGTTGGGAGAAACCTGCAGTACGGCTCCAGTTTAGCCAGGGACTTCTGCACCTGCTTAACTTTAAGCACAAGTAGTCTAACAAACCAGTAGAATTACTCAGGCACTTAACAGTTAAGCATGTACTTCAATACCTTTCTGGATCAGTCTGTGATCAATAGAAGTACACCAGTGTTTTTAAGCCAGGTCAGCAGGGGCTCGGCAAAGAGACGGAGGGTAATAGCAGAGTGAGCAGGGAGGTGGAGCTCTGCCACTGCCAGGCCCAGTCTCCTGGCTTTGCATCAGTCTTTAAGATAGGGGTAGGGGTTCTACAGCAGAACTGTATGAAAGAGTTCTGCGAGCTCAGGAAGTTTGAAAACCACTGCAGTAGACAATGCTCTGATCTTTAGCCAGCTGTAATTATTCAGTGAATAAATATGCTATAATGAAGCTGGAATCAAGGTGTTTTTCCATTGCAGACTCTTAACTTAGATTGGAAGGTCTTTAGACCAAGGGTGCTCTCTTTGTTCTGTATTTTTATGCAGCACAATGGGATCCTAGTTCCTGGGTTCCCAAGTGCTATTGCAAGACAGAGAATTGATAATAGCAATAATAAAATCATGTTCAAGGAACCCCAAGGGAGTTAGGCACCTTCTCATGTTAGGCTTCTTTTGTGCTAGTAGATGCCAGCCTTAGTGACTGACCACCAGATACATAGTGTGACCAGTAGTGTTGCCAGCTTGCTCTGGCAGGTGCTTTGCAGTTTATGATTCCTCTTGCCATGCTAATCTTTAAATGCATTCTGTGAACAAAGACTGTCAATAAAAGTGTCAGTAAATGCCAGCTATATTGGTTTTGCATGCAGGGCTGATAGCTGTCCATAAGAAACTAGACCTATGACTTGCTCTTTTTACATAGGTCATCAAGCAGCAATAACTTCAAGTCACTAGGGGCATCTACACCTGCACTTTACTGCGGAGTTGAGTAACTAGCTCCGCAGCAAGGCTTCACTCTACATGTGTAGCACTCTTAGGCCACAGTAAATTAATTAACTCTGCCATAGGATAGTACTGCCCAACATAAGTATTATCCTACAGTGGAATTATTTACTTCACCACAACACACGTGTAGACAGTGACTGGGGTTGGCTGGGGCACAAGGGTGCTATAGTGTGGGGGCTGCCTGCCAACTAGCCCCACATTGTAGCACCCTCATGCCCCAGCCAGACCCTCAGCAGCACATTGAACTGGAGCAGAGCAGATCCAGGCTGGCAGGTTGACCCCCTGGGCCCACTGCCAGCTGGGCCTGCACCACCCCAATTGAACGTGCTGTGGTCCTGGATGCACATTCAGACATGGCTCCCAAGATCAATAAACTCCGGCATGAACTGCACCAGAGTTTATTGCATTGCATTAATAGCAAATGTAGATGCACCTGCTACTAACTTGGGCTGAGTTGGAACTGATGACCCAAGTGGCTCAAAACATCATCCATAGCAGGACCACTCAGGAACTCCTTCCAGTCTTGATGGTATTTCCCTCCCAGCTAGTAACATGGCAAAGGCACAGCAGTAACCCTTTCTCACTTGTTTGTGACTTTCATGAGACTGCTTCCCCTAGGCTGAAAACCTCTGGTCATTACTCATTTACTTTAAATTATCAAGTCTCTCTGTCCTCCACTTTAGGCAATGACTTTAAAGATTTTCAAAGTTTCCAGTACATCAGTACTCAGTATCAGTGATTACTCTAGATGGATTTCCTAGATCTTGTGCTTAAGCTGTAGTTTTAACAATACGAATGATTGGGAGGATTTGCTGATGCTTTTAGCAGGCACCCAAAGAAGGTAGGTGCAAACTAAGCAGCAGATACAGGAAGACTGGTTAAAAACGGAACTTAGATGATTGATGGACGGAAAATTGAACGCAGTTAGAAAGAGCCTGGAAAACAGAGCCTTGCCATCTGGTATTGGTTCAATTCCCAGAACGGCCAATACCATCTCTACATTACAAGGTTTGACATGTAAAATTCCATAAATAAAATCTTGTAAATGATAATACAAACCACAGGAAAATATAAAGAGGAAGGGAAATGCTTTCCCTGGTAGGAACTATACTGATCCTTTCCAGTCTGGAAACGGAGAAAATGCTCTGACTTTTCTCCTCTTTACACAGAAATCTCTGTGCAGAGATCTCTTTCCCCAACATTTCATTCAGATAATGACATAAATTTTACCTGAAGGCAGTATCACAAAGCACTGTTGTATGTAGGGCTCTCCCTCTCCTAGCTGCGCCTAATCAAAAAAAGTGGTTTAATGGACTGTAATTCAGGTTTCTAATTCCTATCCTCTCTGCTTCTGCAGGTTTAAATTCCAACAGGACCAGTTTGCTTTTTCAGCCATGTCCTTTGAAGGAGATAAATTCAGTGCAGGCTATCAATGGGGACTTCTGAATGAGATTTTCCAAAGTGAGGTCCTCCGTGCTCTCTCCACGGGTATTTAAAGATTCCCTGGCACTTCATGTGAGTAAGGGATCACTCTCAGAATCTTTTGCTGATATTTTCACCTCTTCCCCCTCACTGTTGCATAGACAGGGCGTCCTCCTAGAGGCGGTTCTAGTTCCCTGGTACTATTCAAGTGTAGGAAATGCTTCAGGATAAAAAGTGCTGCATAAATATAAAATTATATTATTTGTGGCTGCCAGGGGCATGTTATAGTTCCGAGTTAAGTAGTGCAACAGAGCTGGACAGGT